TGGGAAAAACCTCTTTTTGACAAGATCGTGTAAACCTCGATTTTTGAGGAATAAGAGATCTCATGAAAAAGGGGTTTTTTCTGACAAATGGTCCCATCTACATGAGGCTTTTTAGTGGCAAAACCTCTTCACCAAAAAAAAAAAAAAAAAAAAAAAAAAAAAAAAAAAAAAAAACAAAAAAGAGAGGGAATGTGAGGGGAATGGTACGGGCTCCATCTGAAGTGTAGACATAGCGGCTACATCTACACTGGCATGAATTTCCGGAACTGCTTAAAATGGAATAGTATTCTGTTTTAAGTTTTTCCGGAAAAGGAGCGTCTACATTGGCAGGCTGCTTTTCCGGAAAAGCCCTTTTCCGGAAAAGCGTCCATGGCCAATGTAGACATGCTTTTCCGGAAATGAGCCCCGAGCGTCATTTTGGCGATCGGGGCTTTTTTCCGGAAAAGACTACTGGGCTGTCTACACTGGCCCTTTTCCGGAACAGTGTTCCAGAATAAGAACTTATGCCCGAGCGAGAGCAGAATAGTTTTTCCGGAATAGCGGCTGATTTTGTACAGTAGAGCATCGTTACTTTTCCGGAAATTCAAGGGCCAGTGTAGACAGCTCGCAGCTTATTCCGGAAAAGCGGCTGATTTTCCGGAATAAGTGACCCAGTGTAGACACAGCCAGCATGTGTGCACAAGATGCATCTGCATTGGGGCTGAGTTGGGCTTGTGTCATGAAGGAGGCTGGCGTCCATAGGATCCCTGCCTCTGTTGTTGCAGAATTTTGAAGATGTATAGTGAATGAGGCAGGGGCTGCAGAAAGAGCATGGGTAGACTTGTGGTCAAGCAATCGAATGCTGCCCGGAGAACTGGATTTTCTTCCCGCCTCTGTCAGAGCTCATGCCTGATGTTAGGTAAATCACATAAACATCAGAGGTAAATCACATAAACATCAGAGCTCACAGTTGGCCTCAAATTATGTGTTCCTCATTGTCTGGCAACCCAACATAAAACACTTGGGAACAGATTTGCAGAAGTACTGAGCACTCACAGCTGTGACGCAGGACGTCTGCAGCTGTGCTCTGGGCATATAATGGGCCATAAAAATGCTAAGAGAGCTAAGGTGTGTGAAAGAATATCTTTTATTGGACCAGTTTCTGTTGGGGAGTGGTCTGAATAGTCAGGGCCTACATGTCTCAAATGAGTCGCCGCTGTTGATAATTGTAGCCTTAATCTTTCTGTGCTGCAGCTCCTGATCTATAAAATACATATAACAATATCACATGCATAAAGATGAATACATGAATGTACTAGGAGGAGAGCACCATAGAAACTCCCAGCAGGAAATTAATAATTCTGAAGGCCATGCTGGGTTTGGGTGGTGGGTGGTAAATGAGGGTTTGTCTCCACTTACCGGGAGATTGGTGTTGAGGGGGTTGATCTCCTAGGGTTTGATTTAGCAGGTCTAGTAAGGACTCACTAAATCAACTGCTGATGGCACCCCTTCCACTTGGGTACGCCACCAGCTTGTGAGGAATAAGGAAAATTGATGGGAGAGTTTCTCCTGTCAACTTCTCACAGCGAGGATACCACGGAAATTCAACCTAAGGTACTCATAGCTGGAGTTGTGTATCTTAGGTCAACTTTCTCCCGTAATGTAGACCTGGCCTGAAGCCTGGGCCATGTATTAAATGAGAAGGATAAAAAGAAATGCTGAATAACTGCTTATTCACTGAAGGAGGTGACGATCCTGTGGAAAAAAATAACGTGTGATGATGTAAATAAAGACCACCTCGTAATGCAGGAGGGGGCTGAAATAAAGTTGCACCGACAGCTTTAATGCTGGGGTTTCATTACTTCCAAGTGCTTGACTTTGAGACCTGAACATTCTAACAACAGGTTGGGAGGTAATTAATATTTATATTAGAGTAGCACTTAGAGATACCATTGGTCTGCTAGGCTCTGTCATTAGCGCCACACGACTAATGGGGCACTGAGAGCCACACAGGCTAACTTGCTTGGCCAAGGTTATCCAGCACACCTGTGTCAGTCCTGGGAGGTCTGCACCTGGATGTTCTAAGTCCCAAGCCAGCAACCCATTATCGGTGTGTTCTCAAGGTGCTGGGGTGCTAGACACTTTCCAGACATTCGGAAAAGGAGTTTACAAGCACTTGAGCTTCTCCTGGGAGATATCCCGTAGCCCCCTCATTCTCTGGATTGGGAAGCTTTCCATAAAAAACAGAGGGAAACAAATGCAGATCTCTCTCTCTCTCTTTTGTGTGCCAAAGGAAACTTCCCTCTTTTTGTCCTTAATAAAGCTTTACTGTAAAAAGCCTCTGTGTTGCCCGTCTGGTGGTGCTGATGGGGAAGACAGGAAATGACTGAGAAGTAGCAATGGGAAGACAGCTGTGGCTGAGTTCTTGTGCCCAAGAGTTTCAGAGTAGCAGAAGAGAAAGTTGCTGGGAGGAATCTGTCTGGGGCTTCTTCTGAGTGCTTGGCCAGCTTTTCAGAGGTGCTGAGCAGCTGTCACCCCAAATATCTACTCAAGAAAGAGATTTTGGAGTCATTGTGGATAGTTCTCTGGAAACATCCACTCAGTGTGCAGGCAAAAAAGCAAACAGAATGTTAGGAATCATTTAAAAAACGGATAGAGAATAAGACAAAGAATATTTTATTGCCTCTGTATACAGCCATGGTACGCCAACATCTCGAATACTGCAGACAGATGTGGTCACCTCATCTCAAAAAAGATATATTGGCTTAGGAAAAGGTTCAGAAAAGGGCAACAAAAATGATTGGGACTGGTCCTATATGAAGAGAGCTTAAAAAGACTGGGACTTTTCAGCTTAGAAAAGAGGAGACTAAGAGGAGATATGATAGAGGTCTATAAAATCATGACTAGTGTGGGGAAAGTGAATAAGGAAAAGTTATTTACTTATTCCCACAATGTAAGAACCAGGGGTCACCAAATGAAATTAATAGGCAGCAGGTTTAAAACCAACAAAAGGACATTTTTCTTCACGCAGAGCACAGTCAACCTGTCGAACTCCTTGCCAGAGGATGTGGTAACGACTAGGACTTTAACAGGGTTTTAAAAAGAGCTAGATAGATTCATGGAGGTCAGGTCTATCAATGGCTATTAGCAAGGATAGGTAGAAAGGGTGTCCGTAGCCTCTGTTTGTCTGGAAGTGGGTGACAGGAGAGGGATCATGTGATGATTACCTGTTGTATTCCCTCCCTCTGGGGCATCTGGTATTGGCCACTGTTGGCAGACAGGATACTGGGTTAGATGGACCATTGGTCTGACCCAGTATGGCCATTCTTATGTTCTTAATGTCACCAGCTTTGCTCAGCACCTCTGCAGTTCGGGCCATGGGTGGCTCTGTCTTTGCACTTAATTATTTTTCATTAACCCTGCAGAACCCAAATTTCTCACTGCTAGTCATAAATCAATGCCCTCGTGTAGTTGCTTGCAGCTGAGAATCTCCAAAGATTTGTCAATTAATGCTCCTGACAGGAGGTGGATAAATGGCATTACCCAGATTTTGCAGATGATGGAGAAGGAAGCACCTCTTGCAATAACACAAGAACTCTGGTGATATGAATAGGTGGCAGCAGGTTTAAAACAAACATAAGGTAATATATCTTGACACAACTCATAGCCAACCTGTGGAACTCCTCGCCAGGGGATGTTATGAAGGCTAAAAGTATAACTGGGTTCAGAAAAGAACTAAGTAAGTTAATGGAGGACAGGTCCATCAATAGCTATTGGCTAAGATGGTCCTGGATGAAAACCTCGTGGTGTGGGTATTCCCAAGTCTCTGAGTGCCAGAAACGGGAACTGGATGACAGAGGACGGTTCACTTGAAGTTGCCCTGTTCTGTGCATTCCCTTTGAAGCACCTGTCATTGGCCAGTCAAAGGACAGGACACGGGGCTGAATGGAACATGGCTCTGACCCAGACTTGCTGTTTCTATATTCTTATGTGGACACTGAATCATGGGGAGAATCAGGCCTACTACCGGCCACCTGAATCCATATGTGGGCACTTAAATAAAACTGGCCTGTTTTTAGAGGTGCTGTAGGTCAAACAATGTGATGTACAGGTTGGACCTCCCAGGTCCGGCACCCTCAGGACCTGACTGGTCCCAAATGAGGGAGTTTGCCAGACCAGGGGAGGTCAATTCCGCCCCTCTGCTGATCGACTTGGCTCCTCTGCCTGCAGCAGGGCTCCCCTGGCCTGCAGCACAATGCAAGGCTCCTGGCTCCGTGGCTGCTGGGACTCCCCTGCCCCAGAGCTCTGTGGCTGCCAGGGCCACTGCAGCTCCCGCCACCCTGAAACTGCTGGAGCTGGTGATGCTGCCACTGCCACTGGGCTGGTAGGGCTGCAGCTGCTCCGGGGCTGCTGCCCTGCTGCCCTGGGCCAGCTAGGACTCTAATGACCCAGGGCCAGCCCAGGCTGCTGGAGTCCTGGCTCTGCTCTGGCTGCTGGGTTCCTAGGGCTTTCTGGTCCAGCCACATCTGTGGTGTAGGTAAGGACATGGGAAGTAACAGCCTCATACGTCTCAGGTTGGGAAAGACGTGGACAAGTTAGAGAGTCCAGAGGAGAGCAGCAAACATGTCCCAGGCTTAGAGACCCTGGTGGTTTTTGATGGTGGTTAGTGGTGGGGACAGGGACAATCGCAGCTGTTTGCTGTTCGGCTGTTAAATATCCTGTTTCCTTGCGGCACGTTGGAAATCTGTGCTAGGACCTCATGGTGCTGCCACCGTCATACGGTCTGGTGCACTCACCTGATCACTGGGCTCTTGCACTGTGCAAAGGCCCCGATTCTTACCTCCATTAACTCGCTGCAAATCCGCTGTCGCTCCTTCCCCTGCAGCAGAGTGAGGCCGAGTGTCTGCTGAGATGGGGGTCTGGCCCTGTGTTTTAAAGGCAGCCATGAGGGGAAGGCAAGGAGCAGGGTTTGGGATAGGACTGTGACTGCATTAACATGGGGTCTTTCTTTTTCTCTGCAGCTTTCCTACTAGGGAAGAATCCCGATCTCCTGAGCCCGTGTCTATCGTCCCACTCCCTCCACCTGCTGTCCTCCCCCATGTGAACCCAGAGCCACAGCAGAGCCCCCCTGAACTGCCTTTCAGACCCGTCGATCTGTTCCAGCCGGAGTTTGGTGAGTGTGTGTCAGGCTTAACCCGCCACTTCTCAAGCTTTGCCTTAGTGCACTGACCTGGGCTTCCCTAGACAGCCTTTGGGCGCGGCGTAGTGTCTGTCCATCTGTCCATCCTGCTCACTGCAGCAGCAGTTTTTCCTGAAACGACTTGGGGATTTTTCATGGGTTGCAAGAGCAGGTTTTGGGTGCCAGGAATCCTGGGACTCGACATTGGCTCTTACGCAGCTTGGTGATGGTTCGGAAGCAGGCCTGTTCAGTCACCGTGTGGCGATTCTCTCCTAACATCTGTTGGCACAGCACCAAGGTTTAATCGGCCTAAAACCACATGGAGGATTTTATCTCAGTGGATAGGTTTAAAAGAGAGCGGATGAGAAGAAAGGAAGTCCTTGTTATTGAGGAGCGAATGCTAAATTATCCCAGAGTGTCCAGTGATTGAATTCAACTTTGATGTCTGGTTGAGGCATAAGCATTTCTCCCCACAGCTCCCTTCAGGGACTGTGTCCCAAGATCCTGGGGTAGGGCACAGGGTGGCCATTGAGAGTTAACAGGAATTTCCTGGGCCTGGCGTATACATTCTAGTTCACCCGTGAATGCTGTGATGGCTCATACCACGTCTCCACTTGCTGTGCCTGAGATTGATCTTCTGGCCTTCGATTTAGCGGGTCTGTTAAAGACCCGCTAAATTGAATACTGAGGGCACCCCCAGTTGTCGCTGGTACTCATCGCAGTTGCGAGGAGTAAGGGAAACCGACAGAAATATTTGCTCCCATCAACTTCCCTATGTGAAGTTGGTGCCAAGCTTGGCCTAACGTATTATGTAATTTGCATAGCTGGAGTCGTGTAACTTAACCCAACCCTCCAGGTCTAGTATAGACTTGGCCTTAGATAAAACCTGTTGCACCCTGGTCACCAGTATCACAGAGAAGCACCATGAGTTAGGTGTCTACACTGAACATTATGTTCTTAAGGTCTGTGTTTGGGGACAGGTCACCAGCAAAGATGAAAAACCAGGTTTTCTGTCAAGGAAGAAAAGTCTTTATCTGGCTGATTATGTGTAAATGAAATATTGTGTAGATCACAACGGGTCAGAGAGGGGCAAATAACAGAAAAAAAGTAAATGGGGAGTGAACTCTATTTTGAAGTGTGTATCTGACATTTGCTGTGGTATATTTGGGGGACAAGGAAGACACCCTTTCATCCTTAAACCGCCAGCGAGTTTGCTGCATGAAAGGGTCTCAGCCAAGCGTGACTGAAAATGCTGGAGAAAACTCAGGGTGAGAGAAGCTTCTTTAGGCAGGAGGGTGACCTGCTAGTTAAGTTCAGTCTCTAGTAAGTTAGTTACAATCTTGCTTGACAGGAAGCCATTTGTTTCTGTTGTCCGTACTCCCCATCCCTTGCATCTCTGAGTGTTCGTGCGTCTCTGTGTGTTCTTGTTTTCACTACGCATCTAGCTCAGGGCTGCGGTTTGGAGCAACATGCAGGTCCCGGGTTGACGCTTACAAGCTGGCTTGTTCTATTTTGGGAAACAGCTGGCCTGGGGGTTCTGCAAGTGTGCAAGAAGGGGCTAAGCCCTCGGGGGGGGAAAGACCCAAGGCCACAGGTGTTGGTGTGAGCCGTTCACTGCCTGGTACAGTCTGCAGGGGCAGGCAGGGCTTGGGCTGCCAGAAGCTGGTAGTTTCAAGGAGCATCGTGCTAAGAGCATCACGACCACCCCTGGAGAGCGTCACAGCCACCGTAGACTGGTTGAACAAAGCAATTTTCATCTTCAACCCTGAGCAAAGCTGGATGAGAGAGACAGGCCTGGGGGCCAATCAGCAGGAGTTGTTGACAGCTTTGCTGCTGCCTTGCATGCCTGCCAGGCAGGTATTGACTAGGGCCAGGCCTGCAGGTAACCTGAGGAGAGGGGAAGCTGGTGTGGGAACCAGCAGCAAAAGGGTTAAATCTCAAAGACAAGAGGAGGCAACAATGCTGGTGTGGAGGCGCGTCGGGGTTCCCCGCCTCCTGCACCCCCGTAGTGGCACGGACAGACTCCGCCAGCCAGTAGAACAGAGGGAGTTTATTGCTTCTCCAGGATACAGCACAGCACAGATGTAATCTGGTCACAGGGCAGGCCTAGGATGCCTCAGCCCCCCCTTGAGATGGGGGAGCCTGGGCCCCTAAATCCCAGCCCGTTGCCTAGGCTGCTTCCTCCATGATACCAGACAGAAACTCCCACTCTTTTCCAGCCCTGCCCCCCAGCCAGGTGCTGGTCTCCGCCCTGCTCCCTTTGTCTCTCCCTGGGAGGCTAAGCCTGGGTGTCTGGGATAATACGCATTTGGGAGAGTCAGTGAGAATCTCCCATCACAGCACAGGGGACCCCGGGTCACAGAACAGACAGCATCCCCACTACGCCGCAGCTCGTGACTGGAGCATGGGACTAGACTCCTGGGGCCTATTTCCAGCCATGCCACTGAGTTGCTGTATGACCTGGGGCAACTCTCTTGACTTCTCTGGGCCTTGGTTTTCTCCTGTGTGAAATGGGGGGTGGGGAGGGGGTCATGATACTTAACTTCCTCTTCACTGCCACGTCAGGCCTTCGGTCATTAAGCTGGATGAGGTCTAATTAGTTAAACGCGCTGCGAATGAGTTAAGCTCCATAGACGTGCACAGTGTCCTCACGCTCACAGGCCTGCATCGCACGGCTGCTCGAGAGCCAGTGTAGTCCTGACTGCTTTGGAAAGGCCCTGGCGCTAGAGCGGAGACAGGTTCAGCTGTGGGGAATACAAAGGGGCTTCGTTATTGAGGCTTCTGGACACACCCGGGGCCTATGGCTCCCTTTGGCCCCAGACCGACAGACTGAGGCTACGCTGCCTGGTGTGGAGGCGCCCTGACCTGGAGTTAGCAGCTGTAGAAGCAGCGGCTCAGCATGGTGCATGTTGCTGAGGAATGGGGAGATGGCAGCAGCTGTAACTGGGTATCCAAACAAGCTCCTGTCTCATAAGAAGTGGTGGCCATTTCTCTGTGTGCATATAAAAATAACAGAAATGTTCCATTTCCATATCAGCATTCACCTCATAGTGCTTTCCAGTCTGCCTCTATCGGAATCATTCTCCAAGCCTTGGAATGCAGCCACCTCTGAGGTGGGACGCATCAGCCTCTCAGCATAGGCTAGCGACATGACTATGTACCTAAGGTTCTGAGCAGGGTTTTACCCGAGCGACTACCATGTGCCATCGGCCGTGCCGCAGCAGCTACCCTGTCAGAGCTAGCTCAGGTCGGCAGACTTGTGCAGCAATCCAACCTTGAGGGGGGTAATAAAGAGCGGGTTCCTCCTATGGAGCCACAAAGCCGGGGTGGTGGTAGTTTGAAACCAGTTGCACACTGGAATTTAGCACCTGTGTATCTGCTTGTGCAAAAGTAGCCCCGGGATCTTTCAGGGCCACAGGCAGTCCGGGCCTTGACTTTACAGCTCATTTGTTTGAATGCTCAAGTCTAAATAGTGTTTCTCCTGCTTTGGATGTTCAAAAAGTAAACCAGGGGTCTGTCTTCCAGCCTCTATTATCCCATGGTCCCAGGAGAAAGTCTCATCCATCAGTGGCTGGGGTACCAGCAGACACAAGGCCAGGCTGTCTTACCAAGGGACAGATTTATTAAGAACCTCCTGTGTAGTTAGCTTTGCCAGAAAGCAGCCACGCCTGCCTGTGGAATCCTTATGGCCACATAGCAGAGTTTAACACTGGTGATTAATGCCCCGGTTCCTGAAAAAACTTGAAAAATAACAAAGTCTTGCAGCACCTTAGAGATTAACAAAAATGTAGGCTCAAAAGCTTCAGAAGGGGAGCCAAGTTAGTCTGTAAAGGAAAAACTTAAAAAAACAACAAATAGTCTGGTAGCACTTTAAAGACTAACTAAACATGTAGATGGGGTCATGAGCTTTCATGGGCACAGCCCACTTCTTCAGATGCATGGAGTTAAGGGGTCTAGTTTCCAAATAAATAGCAGACAAGGGGGTGGGTAGAAGGAAAAAGAAGGAAAAAAATGGGGGGGGGGGGAAATATTGTCAATTAGCATGTCCATGCTAAATGAAGCCTATAGCATGGTTACTAAGTGCTCTTAAGTACCTGGTGTTTGTTTGTTTTTTTAAATGTCATTAGGATGTGGAATGGAGCAGGTAATCCAGTTAAGGTCTTTGTTTAAACCTCTGCTGCAGGCATCAAACTTGTAAATGAAATAAAGCTCCACAGCTTCCCTTTCAAGCTGGTTTTTGAAATTGGCTTGAAATAATATCAAAACTTTGAGATCCATTAGTGAGTGCCCAGGCAAGTTAAAATCTTCCCCTACAGGTTTCTGTGTGTTGCCTTTTCCAGGATTTGATTTGTGTCCATTAACCCTTTCTCGTAGAGACTGTCCGGTTTGGCCAATATCCATGGCAGAGGGGCATTGCTGGCACTTGATGGCATAGATCATGTTAGAGGATGTGCAGTTGTATGAGCCTCTGATGTGGTGGTTTATGTGGTTAGGTCCCATGATGATGTCGCTTGTGTAGATGTGTAGACAGAGTTGGCATTGGGGTTGATTGCAGTGGTGGGTTCCTGGGTGAGTATGATGGAGGTGTGCTGCGCGGTTACCGGAAATAATTTCTTTGAGTGTCGGGGGCTGTCTGTTGGTGAGGATTGTCCTGACCCTCAAGGCCTGTCAGAGTGAGGGGTCATTTTCCAGGATAGGTTGTAGATTGTTGAGAATGCTTTGGAGGGTTTTATGTTGGAGGATGTCGAGTCAACTATCCGATAAGCAAATTCTTATCGCAGTGTTTCCCAGTTGGTGCTCTGGGGAACCCTGCAGATCCGCAAAGCGAAAGCAAGGGTTCCTCGAAGAGCCTGCATTCCCCCGCCCCCTGTTAAAGAGACAGAGCCATGGCGAGAGCTTCTTTTTTTTTGTTTTGTTTTGCTTAACGAAATGCTGCAGGGGCCTTTTTTTTTTAAGGCAACTCTAGGGGTTCCGTGGCCAAATAAAATTGGGAA